AACTTTTTTATCGGGGTTTCTCTTTTGCACTAAATTGGTGGGGAAAAATTCAGTGCAAAAGAGAAACCCCGATAAAAAAAGCCTAAAAACAAGCTAGAAATAACCCCAAACCCAAACCTCTGCTTGGAGAGTACCGAAGTGCTACGTATAGAGCAGGTAGTTAATAGCAGGAACTATCCAGCCATGGTAGATCCCACAGTTGTTTATGACTGCCTGTTCACCCTCCCATATAGTGTACATCTCATCCACAGTTATACCGTGTGACGTCATCAGGTTCTTGTACACACAAGGGTCATAGGTCAGTTTGTCGCAGCAGTGGAACTGTTTATTCTGTACAGGTGTGATCCCGAGTTTTTCCAGACACATCCCGATGTACACATCCTCTAGAGGCACGGCGGCGGTACGGAGGGACGTTTCGTACAGACGTGGGACCAAATCTGACGATATGACGTACCCTGTCCCTCCCGCAACGTACCATGGGAGTGTATGTTTCGGATAGGTACGGGGTGACAGGTACCATTTGCTGTTGACGTCACGTCTTGGCTCTGCCCCTTTGATGACGAAACCAGTAACCAATCGAGGCTTCCCTTCCAACTTTCTCAGTGTCTTCACTAAGTTACGGACGTTCACATAGGTGTCGTCATCAGTTTTCATCAGGAAGGCCGCCTTCGGACAAAAACTCAAGAACGATTTCAGGGTCATCACAGTCTTGAGGGTGAGATTTTTGTACGAATCGTGGAAGTTTTCTTGAATTATATCTCCGTGCTTGGTGTTTTCCCTTTCTACCGCATGTTGTAGTGTTTTATCATCTGTCGTTCCCAGGGCAAACAGTGTCTTGATCTTGAGCCCAGGTATATTTGAGTCGTTCCCCCAGGTCGCGCGAATCGCCTGTCGGTGGGTCACGTGAGCATGCGCAGTGTGGACAATGATGACAAGGAAAACGTCACTTCCGGCATGTTCACAGACATCCTGACCCGCTGTGGTGAAGCGGTATGGATGTGGATTTATTACGTCTGTTTTCACACCCGTTGTTAGTAGCTGTGTCTGACGAAATTCTCCTGCAGTTTTTTCAGAACCGAAATCCCACCAGACAGCCGAGAGAGTCACCATCAGCATCAGCACCATCAGCATCATCACCATCAGCTGCCGTCCCATCAGCACCATCAGCTGCAGTCCCAACTTTCTGCATGTTTGTTTCATGGGGAATCCTCCACGACAGGTTTTTCTTCCGATCTGCTGTCTTAAAGATATCTGCAAAACATGATAACATTCTACTATTATACTAAATGACATGTGTCAATCAATCTTGTAACAGTATATACATGCTTTATTCGCCCTGTATTAGAATATGGGGCTCCTGTATGGCACCCAGGTCTCACGACAACGCAGCAACGGAAGATCGAAAGGATCCAGAGACGCGCAACTAATATCATTCTTGGCCACAACCTACCCTACGACCAGTCATGCAAAACCCTGAACCTACAAAAAACGCCCCTGCAGTTTTCACGCAAGCTGCTAGAGACACCAAATTTACGTCACTTCTTTGTTATCCCAACGGCTTTCCACCACATAAAAATCATGACTGTAGCATGTTTAAAACAGGAGATACAAAGCCCGGAAGGTCAGCTGCAGTACCAACCCGTGCTTCTCCTATTGGGTCAGTTAGTCCTCACTACTTGTGAGAAATTGGGCTGGTCTCAATCATGATGTTTCTGACTCAAGGAGAAGAGTTGCTGTTACAGTTCTACTCGGTAACCCGTGTGAGTGGTCATACCATTCAGGTGGTGGCACCGTTCACCTTGAAATGGCCAAACGGTCGTGTTATGTGGCAACCGCTAAGTAAAAAGAAAGCGTAACGTGGCAAGCCTTCCTCAGAGATTTAGAATGTGTGCAGTGCATATATCCCCACCTGTGAGACACAAATCGGACAGCAACTTTAGAGATATGTCAGCGCCGATCCGCCCCAAAACGAAGTAATAACTGGACTGTTGACTTCATCACATTGTGAGACTATTGATTTAATGTCAAAGTGTCGCCTCCCAAGGACATGTACGGTGGCCCCTAAGTACACTTGATATTTTTATGCCACTTTTATTTTCTATGGGTACTTTTATTTTCTATGGGTATTTTATTTTCTATGGGTTACTTTTATTTTCTATGGGTTACTTTTATTTTCTATGGGCACTTTTATTTTCTATGGGTACTTTTATTTTCTAGGGGTACTTTTATTTTCTATGGGTACTTTCATTTTCCATGGGCACTTTTATTTTCTCTGGGTTACTTCCATTTTCTATGGGTACTTCTATTTTCTATGGACACTTTTATTTTCTATGAGTACTTGTTTTTTTCTGTGTGTACTTCGCGAAGTTCTTTTGTGGCTGGCAAAGCGACATTCATTTTGTTTTCATGTGGATGCTCCCATTTTTATTATGGGCGGTATATTTCTGTTTACCATTCTAGGCAACTAAATTTATTTTGAACCTATTAAAACATAATATACTTTACACTTTAAGAAAAGTTAGTTTGTTTTGCATGCAATGTTCCACACGTTTATTAATTAGGAGTATTAAATAGTGATTATTACATCCTGGCATAGATTATGTAAATGTTACACAGGACCATACTATTTTCGGGGGTGCTAGGACATATTGTTCAGACTTCCGTCAACATTTCCGTAGCGATATATGGTAAATCACTTCCTCGCTGGATGTAAATTACTCCTTTGTATTAAAAAAAGCCCGTAATCTAAAGCGAGGGTTCATTGCCAATGTTGGGAAAAAAATGCATTGCGGTTTGCTGCCCTCCTACCAACCGCGAACGTTCATCACAATTGCAGTTTACTACATTATGTAACATTAGGACGATGCAAAATTTAATTTTTTTATCATTTCTTTCTAACCTAAGTTGAATCAACCCTACACTACTTCATTGTTGCAAATAAGCACCATTCAGGAATTGTCTAAATATGACGCCTTACGAGTGTGTTTAAAAACCTAGAAAGACAGATGTTAGTCATGTTTGACACGAGTCTATCATATTCAACTGGTTTGACTAGTTCTGTTAGTTTATTAAGCCTTGGTCACAACCCGCCGTACGTGCTTCTGCGTGCTGGTTACGTGCAAAAACGTGGGCAAACGCAGGGCATCCGTGCGTGGTGAGTACCGCCTCCGTACGGAATCCTACGGATTTGGGAGCACGCAGACACGCCGTAGAACTTTAAGTGCCATGTAAAACTTCTGTGAGTGGTCTGCGGATTCACCACCCGTACGTGCGAGTACGGGCGACGCGCGTGCCCCGTACGTACGGTACGTAAGAAGCACGTGTGAGTACGGCCTCCTTACGGTAAAGTTGCAATCGCACAGAGATCGTACGTTGTAACTTGCACAACGAACGATGTACACAACCGCTCACGGCCAGACGTGGCGTGCTGACCACACTCTTTCACCTTGCGCAACCGTGCGAGTGACGTGCGTCGACGCCACTCCTTCCCCACGTTTTCAGAAAAAACGTAGCAGACGTGGCCTCCCAAAAAAACGTACGGAAAAAAGCACGTACGGCGGGTTGTGACCGAGGCTTTAGTGACGCTGAAGAGAGTGATGGTTGTCACCCGAAACATCAGGAAGTAATCTCCATAATTTATCCAGCATTCAATTCACACACCTACATACATGGTAAACACAAAACTAATCAACCATTCAGACATTGTTGGTTTATCTCGAAGACTATGAGAAAGATGAGCACACACACACACATAACAAGAGAGTGCGAGAGAGACATAAACACCTGCACACAGACACTGTCTTGTATTTAATCTATGGCAGGTGAAACATTAACAGGTACCAATTATACAAATGATGACCTAATTTGAATAATTAATGTGAAAATTATGTGATTCCTTATTGGTGAATGATGGGAATTTTATACCTTGTGACATGTGTAAGTTACATAAGGCTAACACCACTATGCATATATTATGTTGATATAATTAAGAGAGTAATTTTACACGCAAAATATTGTCATTTGAATTTAGAAAACCATAAATTAAACTAGATTATGGTGATAACGACCTTATTTACCATAGGCAATGAGACAACTAAGAAAACATATACAAAAACTCATATTTCGTGGAGGTATGAGATCTCAGAATTCTTGTTGGAAGACGCTTTTGGAGGATTAGTGTCACCTGACTAATAACGCAACGACATGTGACAAATAAAAGATAAACTAGCGTTTAACATAATTTTGAATGCAACTTTCAGCTGTGTGCTAGCTGTGAACTAGGTTTAAATACCTTTCTAATCTGCATATTGGTGGTAACAAGCATGGCGTGCATGAGTTCAAAATCTGTCTCAAGTGAGTGCACGTCTCTGTTAACTACTTACTATTAAATAATTGTTGTTGTTTTTCCAACATGTAATCACAAGACTTGGTGCCTAACTTTTTTAAACTTATATTAATGCCGCCACCAACACGGGACAATACAATACTCATTTTCACCTGAGCGAAGTGATGAAAGTGCCTTTCCCAAGATCGGTGGCATGTCAGGACTCGAACCCTGGACCTCTAGGTTCCGAGTCGAGCACTCTACCGCTACGCCACACGGCCCCACTGATAAACAATTATAGTTTAAGACATATAGTGACATTTCAGTAGTAAACAGGTACATACATTTGTTATGTTGTCTGTATTGCTGGAGTTATCCCTCTAGCTGTCCTTGTGTATGTATAAGTGAAACGCAAACTCTAAGAATCAGATAAAGCATGATCTGATACAGTTCACCTTAGCTATATATCTTGGATCCCCATACTTTCATTCTCTCATACATATAATCAATATGTGACGTTAGATATGGATATGTAGTTATTGTTGTTGTTCACTGCTATGATGTACACGTACGTGTAAATTTACTATTAGACACTGTGACGGCTAACAACATAATCTCCAAACCTTGCACATATCGACAGTTGAATATTAACATCCCACGGATGCGTGAAGGTGTAACTAAATATTAGTAAGTTACAGAGTGAGAAATACAACAGGTTTCAAATTAGGTGAGTGACTGTACCTCAGAGAATGGCGTTTTCCTACTGTAAGAGTCCTGTAATGATGATCAGCTGTTTTCACATTCGCAAAGAAATTTCCAAAAATGCCACTGGTATTTTACATTTGGATGTGATCGCCCACTTCCGGCTGAGTACCAGTGATCTGAAGTGGTCCGACCGGTTTGGTTAGTGTTAGGTCTCGAACCGGAGTTTCTAACTTTGATTTTTGTCTGTAGGCCGGCACCACCAGGCCGACCATTTCACCAATCATAGTACCATTATTCCGTAGCTGTAGCTATCCGAGGTTTGAGTTTATGAATGCCGTCTACACTAGACTTTGTCAGCACTGGAATTCCAGTGCTGGGGTGGCTTCAGCTCTGGAATAGAGCCGTTCAGCTCTGGAAAGCGAGAGCTGAAAAGAGGTCAGCACTGGAATTCCAGTGCTAAAAAGTCTCAGCACTGGAAGTGGAATTACGAATGTTCCGCACTGGAAACCGAGTGCTGAGGCCACCGTCTCTGAGTTATGATTATACTTAGGGACTGTGCCATATTTACCGGGGAGGGGGCCGGTCGTCCGGGGTAGCGTAATTTTTTTTCCTAGGCCTTCCCCCCAGGGCCAAAAAAATTGTCCTAGGCCCTCCCTCCGGCTAAAAAAAAATTTCCTAGGCCCTCCCCACGGCATGAATGATAGAAAGTGAAATTTCGTATGGGGAGGACGAGATGTGTCTCTAGTGGTCAGGTCTACTTGCAAAATTTTGCCAAAGGGAGAGAGCCGTTTGTCAGAAGAGCACTTAAATATCCAGATGACGTCAACACGGACCCTAACATGACGGGAATTTCATATCAACGACTTGTTGTTTTGAATTTCATTTTAAGACTGTCCCAGAGTGGTGGTTCTGTGAGTTTGTGTAAGGCCACAGCAAGTAAATTTTATGGATCACATCCTCCACAGACTCCAAATCTAATGCGAGCGGGCCGAAAAAATAAGGTTCCTACATTTTAAAAATTTGACTCAATCATTGTACAGATGGTTTTGTGTTGACTTCAATGCTCCTATCATAGCATTTGGGTCTTTAATAGGATGCCTAGACCTGTTTCTTTCGCCGTTGCTTCATATTTTTTCTTATAAAAAAAATCCGAGAACCAACAAATTAACTTGATATGGCCTAAACTCTCCTAAATAAAATTGACACCACTGCTTGAGCTGCGAAGCCGCTTGTGTCGGAGGTATCAAATACCATTTACGTTCCCCAATTATATATGGAGAAAACAACTTGGTTACAGTCTATTTGACTGGAGCGAAACTAATTATGGACAGAAAGTTTTCATTCCTGTTGTTTACTTGGTATAATTTTATTAAGTGCAACTCAGTACCAGTAAAAACAGCTTCAGTCCTTGCTACTTCGTCTTAGTACGGAGTCAGTACACCTGTCACGGGTAGGAACATAAAGACTTTTTTATGAAAAACTTAAACTGTTTCATGCTGATAGACATAGATTTATTGAACCTTGAAAAATTTACAAAGATTAAAACGACTTTGACCCTGTGTTGGAGATTACAGTTTAAACTTGACTTCTACTAACACAGATGAACTTTTCTGATGTGCGTTTGTTGACGTTTTGTCTCAGAGACGGGCTGCTTGACAGATGTACCTCTTGTAGTAGAAGCAATCAGCGTCGTCCCACAGGGGGTAGCCGGTTGGTTCTGACCAGTACTGGACGCAATTGTCCCACAGAAGCCAGTCAACGTTACTGGGCTCTCCTGGGTTCCAGGCCTGGTGGAAAAGAAATATTGTTTAATGACAAAATAACATCAACAACAGACAACTAAATCATTATGAAAAACTTAAACTGTTCTCCAACTCACCAGAAATTTTCGACTGAATCACTGTCTTCCTCAGCTATCTGACCCAAATGCTGTGGACACGTGATTATTCCCACGTGTGACGTCAGCAAAGGGTCAAAGGTTGTCTGAAGTCGATATCGCCCCCCGTCCCGGTTGAGCGATGGTTGAAGTGCCCTGATGTATATGGCCTCTTTTATGCCTCTCTTGAAGTAATCCTGTTCGGTATCCAAGATTCTGACCGCCTCCAGATCCACTGTGTGTCCCAGTGATTCTATGTTCAACCATCGCTCAACCGGGACGGGGGGCGATATCGACTTCAGACAACCTTTGACCCTTTGCTGACGTCACACGTGGGAAAAATCACGTGTCCACAGCATTTGGGTCAGTTAGCTGAGGAAGACTGAGTGATTCAGTCGAAAATTACTTCAACAAAAACTAGAGAAAACAATGATAGTAAACTAGTACGGTAGAAAACAAGCGACAGGAAAGAAGTGTGTAATATAACAGAACTAGCACCAACCTGGTAGTCATAGGTGTGCAGTTGAGACCCGTCCATCCACTGCCAGTCCGTGTACCCTGTGCCTTCCCACATGCCGATCCAGTAATCTTCGTTGCCTCCATCGGTCCTGACCAGTTCTCTCAGAGCGACGTCCAGTTCTCGTGTCTTGGGCATGGCCAGTATGGCTCCGTCCTCCAGGCAGGCCAGGCGGGCACCGTCATGGGACAACTCCTGGGAGACGAGCCGGATGCAGGTCCCGACGAGCGGCCGGTAGCCGGCTGGGCAGACGGCAGCTGAAACATGAATGTATGAATGAACTTTATTACTCGACAATCGTACATGGTACAATGTGTGGCAGTAATACAACAACACTACAAAACTAAACTATCTTATTACATTTCTTACTACAAACTACTATCTATACAGTACATGAGTTACAATATGATCATGTATTGATGATATGGTCTCGCTTATGAAATAAAGTGTACAGAATTTTGGCCTACGTAAGCAGATATGGTAGTTGGACATGACAATAATTCATGGAATGTATCGTACTGTGTACCAGACTGGGTGAACTTTGTCTTAGTGGTAATAGTCTGTAACAGTGTATCTCTTTCTTTATTATAGATGGGACAAGTCATAACAAAGTGAAATACATCTTCAATACTCTCATTACATGTGGGACACAGTCTCTGAGTGGCTGGTATGTTGTGGTGTCGACCTTTTTCGATTTGAAGACAATGCGTGTCAACATGAACCTAAGGCCACAGCAAGTAAATTTTATGAATGACATCCTACGCAGACTCCAAATCTAATGCGAGCGGGCGAAAGAAAACAAGGCGGGCCGAAAAAAAATAAGGTTCCTACATTTTAAAATTTTGACTCAATCATACCTACAATCATACCTACCATCAAAAAATACCTACAAAAATTGGGTGCCAGGAAAAATATGGGTGCACAGGTCCAATTTTTGGTGCACTAAGGTGCACATACACCCAGTATTTCGAGCCCTGTATGTACATGTCTACCTACGTGGTTATGAAAAACTTAAACTTTTCTCCAACTCAAAATTTGACTCACCAGAAAATTTCGACTGAATCACTCAGTCTTCCTCAGCTATCTGACCCAAATGCTGTGGAC